GGTCTGGCATAAAGGATTAATTTTTAAACTTCAAAGAAACGGGGTAGATGGTCCAATTTTAAATTGGCTCTACAGTTATCTTTCTGATAGAGAACAAAGAGTTGTTATTGAGGGTCATTGTTCCGACTGGAAACATGTCAGCGCAGGTGTACCTCAGGGTTCAGTACTTGGGCCCCTTCTGTTTCTTATTTACATAAATGACATGGTGGATGGCTTGGTTACCTGCCCTTACTTATTTGCAGATGATAGCTCCCTTCTGGACATTGTAGACAATCCCAACTCTTCAGCTGATCGACTTAACTCTGATCTTAGGAAGATATCACGCTGGTCTTCGACCTGGCTTATGGAGCTTAATCCGCTAAAGACTGAAGAGATGTGTTTTTCTAGGAAATCCAATTCTCCAGACCATTCCCCCCATTATACTTGATAATTGTGTTATTAAATCTGTTAAAGTTCATAAGCATATAGGAATGATACTTACCTCCACCATGTCTTGGGAAACTCAAATTTCACATATGATTGCTAATGTATCCAAACGAGTGTCCACTCTCAATAAGTTGAAATTTAGATTACCACGCACTGTACTTGATGCTATTTTTAAATCTTTTATTCGACCTCTTCTTGAATATGCTGACATAATATGGCATGGATGCACTGTGTATGATTCTCAACGATTAGAACGAGTCCAATATGAATGTGCACTTACAGTTTCAGGGGCTGTCAGAGGGTCTTCTTACTCCTCACTCCTTGTTGATTTAGGCTGGGAGAGACTCTCTGATCGTCGCCATGTTCACTCACTGATCATGATGTACAAAGTAATCCATGGCCATACCCGTCAGTATCTCAGGGACCTGATCTCTCCCGAAGTTTCTTTTTCGACTTCATATGATCTTCGTAATAAATCTAATTTACGGCTACCGCTTTGTCTTACAACTAGGTATAAAAAGTCTTTCATTCCATATGCTACGCATCACTGGAATGGTCTTGATGTAGCTGTTCGATCTCTGAATCTTTCATTGTATAAGAAGTACTTAGTAAAGTCAGTACGTTCCCCTTTTTACCGACATTTTAGCATTGGCCCCAGGTACACCTGCGCATTACTCACGCGTCTCCGCATCGGGACCTGTAGTCTTAACCACAGTTTATTCTTAAGAAATTTAGCCCCTAGTGCTGCTTGTATCTGCGGGTCTCGTTGTGAGAGTGTCATACATTTTCTTTTACACTGCCCTTTATATAATCAACAAAGAGTTACCCTACTCAGCAATCTCCAGAATGTGGTAGGCTTTGATTTTGATGTTTTCAATATGTCTGAACAATTGTTATGTGATATTTTACTTAGAGGATTACCTGATTTATACTATGATACAAACTGTAATATCTTGCTAACCACTCAAACTTATATTGTTGATACCAAACGGTTTGTACTCGATTGATTTATCATATAGCCTACTAAACATTTCCTTGTACTATTTAACGACCCATCCCAACCATTTGCTGTTCTCTGTTTTTTGTTATGTATTGTAATTGTATTCTATGTTTGGTGGTGAGGCTAGAATTAGCAACAGCTAGAGTACCTCACCACCTTGTCTTGTATTGTCCTTGTTGAATTTGCAAATAAAAAAAATAAAAAAAAGAAAGCAATAGTCTACTATGAACAGTCAGTAACGATGACGAAAGCTATCTATGGACACAACACGGCGAGGTTGGACATTGTCATGTCACTTCACAACCTGGGGTTTGCTTGGAGTGAACTTGGCGATCACAAGAAAGCAATTCACTACTACGAACAGTCACTGGCAATGGAGAAAACTATCTATGGACATAACACCGCACATCCAGACATCGCCGCATCACTCGACAACCTGGGATCATGTTGGAGTAAAGTCGGTGATCAGAGGAAAGCAAATATCTACTTCAAACAGTCACTAATGATGATGAAAAAATTATCTATTTACTGAAGACAACAACGCACATCCACACATTGCTTAGTCACTTGACAACCAGGGATTGTTTTGGAGTGATTAGACGAAAGCAATAGCTACTTTGAACAGTCACTAATGATGATAAGGACCATCTGTGGGGAAAAAGTGTCACATCATGCATCAGAGGATAGCTAGTTAATCTAAATGTTGATGATAGTTGGCTAAGAAGGGACTGTCTTAATAAGAGATGGTAATTAATCATGCATGTGATCTGGGAAGAAGCTAAAAAAAGAGAAAAGAGTAGGTAGATGTATACATAGATGTACAAATGTAAAAGCAATTGAATAAATGTTTCAGTTGTAAGAATGTATACCTTTCATAGTACAATATCATACACATGCATGTTTTGTTTTTTGTTTGAAATTGAGGTTGACAGTTTGAGTGTGGACAATATAATATACTCTGGGGAAATTTCTTGGGAACAGCGTAAAATTTAATATGTATGATTTGTAATACCACTGTTGCAAATGGCATTCCAAAAACTTGAAAAACTTTTACAAACTTTGGTTTTTGATGTTACAGCACTCATGAAAAATGATAAAAACAACAAATCAGAGATTCCATGCCTCTAGGAAGTATACAACATTGATGATGTTCACAACAACTGCTGACAATTTCAGACATCACATGAACAGCAATGTTACAGCAACACTACATTATTTACATACACTTAAAAGATGAGTGGCATCAATTATAATACTGTAATTGAATGATGTCACCCATCTTTTAAGTGTATACGCAATTAGGACTCCAGTAATTAATCATATTCCAAGAATTAAACAAATCCGTCAGACCCTCCATAATTTACAGCTGCCGGCACAATACCTTACCATGAAATGATAACTCCTTTCCCGGAGGAAACTTTTCTTTACATTCATAATCAGCCACACAAAAAAAAATGATCGCAACTACCCTTTTCAAGCGTATTTGGAAAGAACACTCAGTGTGCTATAAAACGATGGCAGCTCTGAATTTCAAAGTTTATTGGCTCCATATCGTGGCATAGGTTTAAGGATCATGATTGTGTACCCCATAAGAGCCTATCGTGTAGCTGTTCTGGTGTCCGCTGTGAGATGATTGCACAATTGCAAAAATTTAAAAAGAGTCTCAAGTTGCCAAATTTCGGCAAAATGGAGAAATCGTGAAAGTGTCGTAAAGGGTTTCTTGTGGTTATTCTATTTTATTAGCATATTAAATTTTATTCTATACCCCTTTTATGTACTATATTGCACGACAATCGTGCAGGGTACACTGTATGGAAACAACAAAGTTCTTATTATTTTATTCAACAATAGAACGCAACAAATGCAATAATGGAGGCAACGGACATTATGAAAAATTGAACAGGAAAATTAGGCCATAGCAAACGAGATCGAACTTCCTTTACCATCAACTATAAACAGTGATCACGTCTACATTACCTATTTCCTCACGTACCTATAGCTAGACGCAACATAAAATGAAATACCAAGGATTGTTGTGAGCCTATCTCAAGTCAAAGGTTTTGGTAAAAAAAATCGATAAACGTCAAATTCCCCGATAAACGTTTGATCCCCCATTGACACATGCAAAACTTGCAAGCAAAAGAAAATATGTTTGGCCACGTACCTGTCGAAAGGTCGCGCTCCTGCATGCGCACGGTACATAAACGCTATCTAGACAGCTTCAGGCAGGGAATTCGAACGACTCGCAATTGCGCATTGCCATGACATCAAGGTAACAAACATGCAGATACCGATTTCAAAATGAGCGCCACTTGACTGAATCAAACAACAATGAAAAATGTCGGATTTGAAAATGTAGGTACCTTGTTTTTTTATTGGCCCGGCTTGTTTTTTTTTTTTCGGGGGGGGGGGGCGCCCTATCGCATTAGATTTGGGGAGTTTGCTGAGGAAGTCTTCCATAAAATTTACTTGCAGTGGTCTTTTTGGTTTGCCTGCTCCCGAAACGCCACCTGGAGAAAAATGAAGGTACCTCAGCCTGGGAAGGAGCTCTCAAACACCGACTTTACAGTGCAAAGTTAGCGTCACCTGATCTAATCAAACAGCAATGTAACTGTATTTGTATGAGGTTTTCCATCGTATAACATGCAGTATCGTCTCCTCTGAGTCGTACGTCGTTTCTTGAGGTACCTACAAAGCTCACTAGGTAGCTAGGGCTTTTGTGCCGCGCAGGCATCCAACAGGTGGTCAGCCATCCTGTGATATCATTGTTAGTATACGAAAGAAAGCAAATATACAAAATTAATACAAAGAAGTTTAGCATTCTGATTTGCTGTTTTATTCCGTCAAATGGCGCTAATTTTGTAGTGTCAAATTGATATGTAGTGTCTGTGCTACTCGATCTGAGTCGTTCCCTAGCTGGCCGAGGTATCTTAACGGCCACCATACACACGGTGTCATACAACAGGTGTCCAAACATAATTTCCAAAAGATCAGCCTGCGAAATTATGTTGCGAGTGTGAATTCAGCAACTAACGTTAATGAAAGCTGGAACATTAACAAGGGTTTCAACACATTTTTTTCGCATCACAGCTTGCATGACCAAAGACGTGAGATCGTATCGTGAAGGTTTGTAGGGGTGACTATCTTTTGATTCTTGATGTAGCGTTAACGTTTTTACATGTTTTCTAAAGCACCTTTTATCAGCTTAAGTTTTTAATCGTAAATAGAGGGATGAAACAGCATATTGTAGGTTAATAAAATCAAACGAAAGCACAGAAGTTGTTCTGAACCAGTAGCTCAGTGTGCGACGGGCGTGTCGGCGCTTCGAAAGGAACAAACTGCAAAGAATATGCGTAATATTTTTGCCCCACATAAGAACACAGCGAGCGAAAAAATGTGACAAGCAGCAACAAAATCCCATACCCCCTTTCACCTCTAATTTGCCGAAGAACTACCGGCGATGGAAGTGTACTCGTTAATTATAATGGGACTTCCGTGGCGTTACTGAGTAAATGCACTTCATCTAACAGTCGCAAAGCGGCGCTCTTTATGAAAATCAGTTGGTGAGGTCATAGTGTATACCCAGGGTATGACAACCACTTCCGTGTTGACAGAACCCCGGTCACGATACGTGTTATAAGATTTCCTTCTGTTTAAGGATAATATTAGATCGCAGCAGTCCTGGAGAGGCAACAGTCGTTTAGGAACCGCTAGTTTTTCCTCTGCTTGGCAGAGAAAATCGCTGGAAACCCGCTGAGACGTCAACAATACCTGTTTGGGTCAGGTACACAGGTAAGTCGTCTGCAGGTGTATGTAGGTGAGGCACAGGTGCGTTACACCTGTTCACGTGCGCTATAAATAGGCACAATACCGAATTATAGCTTTCAACATTGCAGGATTGTGTAAATCGTCAACAGTAAAAGACCGGATGCTTGACAGTCCGGTACGAAATTCATGGGTTAACTGTAGAACGTAATATTATAACAGTTATCAGTGTACACATAAAGTAACACTGTGTAACGTTGAATTCATACGTAACGTTACAGTCAATAAGATACAAACCAGGGAACCGTGAAAACCGCGAATATCCGTCTTTTGTGCGTTTAAGCCATAACAACAAAATTAGTGTTAACCTTTGACCTTTGGTAGCAATGGACACAAAAGTTTGGTTTTATTAGTATTTTCCTATCCCTAATAAAAGATTAAGCAGTGCGAAATGCACATGTGGGAAACATGTTGAAACCAATGTTAAGTGACATTCCTGTAAAAGTTCTCGACTTCTCGGGTGAGTTTTGATTCTACGTACTCTGAGGTTTTGTTTCCTCAAGGGTTTCCTATCAAATTAATGTTGCATGCAGACCAGGTCTGCAGAATGTCACTGTAATTGTTCCGGATATCCTTATGTATGTAGCCATATCAGGACATGACTCACTGCCACATACGCATGGAAGTCCACTGTTGCCAAGGAGTTTCTGACATCAACCAGTCCATGACTATAATTACAAATGTGCCTAAGGAACACAATTTTTACTGTCATAAATTTTTGTAAATCTTGTGGTCAGTTTCTTGCTGATTATCCCCCATTAATTATGCAAACAATATCGAAATCTAAATCATCTCTATGTACTGTATCTGTTAATATAAACTGCCCTTGAGCATAATCAGGTACAAATGTACATGGTGATGAACCTTTAAATCATTACTTAAACTTACCTATGTCACATGATGTCCCATCACTACGGAACGCACTTCACATTAATTGTACAAATGAGATACTTATTTGCATAATTCATATCTAATGTTTGAGTTTGCCCTAATTATCTTGTGTCCAATGCATCAAATTCCTGTAATGGAAAATATCATAATCTTAAATTTCCTTTTTTATTAATTATGCAAAACATAATTTGAATAGATTACAACTGATTATATGCAGCTCTACTTAAACTACTGAGCTATCATGGATTCATTCTTTTTTCTGGGGTTAATCCTTCAAAGTTTCCAGGGTAAAATGCCCAGTCTACAAAATTTAATGTATTTCCTGTATTTCCTGGTTCAATGTATAAACAGCTTTTCCTTCTGGCAGTCCCATAGCAGGAACTGTGAATGTGATAACATTAGACAGGAAATGAGGTAACCTTTGGAAAAAACTGAATTTCTATATATAGGAAATAGCAGGAAATTGAAGAGAGGAAGTGAGATTACTTTAGACCTAAACAGACCAGACCAGAGAGACTGTCAGTGATACTCGTGTAAGTGCAACTTCAAGCCCTTAGCATTAAAGGACACTGAACTACTAATATAGAATAGAATAGAATAGAATAGGATAGAATATAAAACAGAATTGAACAGAATAGAATAGAATAGAAAACAGAACATTTTTTCATATACGACTTGAGGCTCATTCTGCTTTTATTTATAGAGATGACGGCAAAGAACAGCCCAGAAGCGATCGTCGGCGACCTCAGGGACTTCTCGCGCAGCTTCTCGGCGCTCTTCAACAACCCGGAGATGAGTGACGTGGTGCTGGTGGTGGGCGAGCAGCGTTTCCACGCGCACAAGCTGATCCTGACGTCCCAGAGCGACGTGTTCCGCACCATGCTGACCAGCAGCCTGTGGGACGTGGCGCGGCAGCCCGAGGTCCAGCTCCACGAGAGCGCCGAGTGCGAGAGGGTCTTCCAGAACTTCCTGCGCTTCTTCTACCAGGGCCAGGTCAGTGGTTTAGAAATACTTACTTTTTTTTTCAGTGATCTGCAAATTATTAGTTTCCCTGAGTGTTTTAAAAATTTTCATGTGTTTAAAATACAGTCGACTTTATGTACTCTTTAGTTGACTTTATGTGCTTTGAGTTGACTTTATGCACTTTTGAGTTGACATTTGATTTGATTTATGTTTGTGACTTCTGTACTTATGTTTATGTGATTTTTGGTGTTGACAAGAAATGTTGCAAGGCACATAATAAAATTTCATTCATTAATTCAGTCATATTGCAAAATGTCAAAAGTTCTGCAATTTGGAAAATATTCCTAGAAGTCTGGATATACATGGTAAAATTGCATGTTGGGCAGATGTATACATTTTCCTGCCTACCTGCCTGCCTCATCCCTATAAGTGCACAAACATTTTACATGCAATTTGAAAATTCAACAATTGCAACATTAGTTGAACCATTGAACCCCAAGCCTGATTTCTTTAGTCTACAAAATTGCAGGTTGCCTTATTTTTCCTCTGCAATATTGAAAATGTCTAGATACAAAATGCAGTCTGCAGATCATGGGTGTTTCTTATAATCACTGCAGGTGAACTGTACCCTGGAGACCGCCATGCCGCTGCTCCTGCTGGCAGACAAGTACAACGTCAACGCCCTGAAGGTACTTATAATTCAATAACACTAACTTACTTAAGCCACACCAAGTAATTTTTATTGATGACATCTGTGCGCGCATTGATTTTGGCCTGTTCCCAGAAAAAAAGGAGACATTCCACTTCCTGTAAGCATCAAAGAGTGACAACAGTGCTGCACATCACAAATTGGAAGATATGATGAAAGGACAGAAACAGGGCAGGACGACGACTTCCACTAGTTTTCCTGACGAATAAAAGACTTGTTGGTTATGTTACACTGTGTTCTCTCATTCCATTTGTGTCCTAACATTTGTTGTCTCTTATATTTTAAATCTGCTGCCTGGCATCTTGTTTTTCTGCCTTCTTGTTTTGTTTTTCTGGCTCTCGCATTTATATGATTTCTAAGTGTTGTACAACCGGTTTTGCTATAGAGTTCCTTGTTCGCTACCTTGCTAGGCCAGAAGATACGACAGATCCTACTAGACAGTCGTTGTTAAATGCGCATACTAGTATCAGTCTTTGTTTAACCCTCCAGCTCTCTGCACCTGTTATAGAAGAATTGATTTAACATTACTTTTGCACGCTGACTAAGACATTGTGCTCTTTGCACATCTTACACAATCTATTACGCAAGGAATACTCCTGTGTGGGAGTCCCCGTCTGGGCTGTTTTTCAGCCAGTAACCTTCAAAAACATGTGCAACAACAGTAAGATACAAAATAACGTGCAATAGAATGTATATTTTCATGGTGCTTTTTTCTTACAACCTTGCAATCTGTCTCAGGGGCTGACCGAGGTGTTTTTTAACCCTTCATCTTGTCTTATTGTTTTAATTGTTTTCTCAATTCAATAAAGATGATGTCAAACACCTGAGTCTGATTTTTGTTTGCCCTGAAGGTGGCGTGCGATAACTTCATGACAACACAGCTGGGTCGGGGAGAGTTCGCGCCGGCGCTGCAGTGGCTGCCGTACTCCATCGCGTTCCGCCTGGAGAGCCTGCGGGTGAAGTGCGTGGACATCATCGTGCCCAACATGTCCCTGGTGCTGAACTCCAACACGTGGCTGCAGCTGCCTCTGGACTGCATCGTCCACATCCTGCAGAGTTCCCGTCTGGCCGTGGAGAACGAGTACATGATATTTGAAGCCGTGATGAAGTGGGTGCAGCAAGAAGCCAGAAGACACCAGGTATACATTGTTGCTTCTTGTCAAACTATACTATTTATTATTATTATTCCAACTTCTAGAAGTTCTGTGAATGTTCTCAGTGATATGAAAGATTAATGTGGTTGTTCTGAATGACAGCATGAATTGAATGAATTAATGCAGTCATATGTTGCAGTTAGAATACATGTTGAAATTTCTCCAGTCCATATTCACCTCATAAATGTAGATGTGCACAGTCATATGTTTATGAAATGCGAAGAATATTCAAGATGATACAAAGAATTTTCACAGTACAATATATTACAGAACTTTATTCCGACCAACACAACAAGGACAATTTTCAACAAGCACCGTCAGCTTCATCAAGATAATTATTGACTAATCACTTCCAAAGTAAATGTAAAGCATGCCATTATGAATGTTCATCTGCATTCAGTCAAGTTACATGTTTAAAGTTAAAACTCTTTATCCAACACAAACTAAGATATTCTCTCACCTAAGAACTTTCGACCAGTCACTCTGGTCTTCCATTGTGACAGTAGACAAGAGTCCCAGTGAGGCTTGTCTGGCTTCTATAAAGTGTGATGTCAACACTGGGTATCAAAGGTATTTGGTAGACGATATCAACCCCCGTCGCGGTATTAAGCTTCATACCTCACTTGTTCCTTCCTTTGTCTTACTCCCTCATTTCGTCCTTCCATCCTCCAGATGCAGGACCTGCTGTCCTCCATCGTGCCTGAGGTCAGGTTCTCCCAGATGACGGCGGGTCACCTGTGGCTGGTGGAGCAGATCTGTGTCAGGTACGGCAGTAACGGGAAGCTGATGGCAGGACTGCAGGAGGCACACAGGTACAGGTCACTGGTCGCCTTCGCCGAGGAGGAGGGACGAGACAAACTGGAGGTTAGAACACACTGAGAGAGAGAGAGAGAGTGAGAGAGAGAGAGAGAAGCAAAAATGGGAGAAATACAGGACAAAAGTAAAGTGAGGAAAAGAATGAAAGAAGAAAAGAAAGGAAAGAATGAAATAAAAGAAAGGAAAAAAGAATGAAAGAAAAGAAAGAAACAAAAAGAGAGTGTCTGTGAATATTAAGCTGGTGTGTTATGCCGAATGGCGGTTATACCAGCTATACTGATACAGATACAGAATGAAAGAAGAAAGCAAGAAAGAAAGAAAAAAAGAAAGAAAAAGAAAGAAAGAAGAGAAAGAAAGGAAATAACTGAAGGATGGCAGGAGGGAGGGATAAAGTGAAAAGTTGGAGGAAATGGTGTGATGCTCAGACACACGGCCTGAGAAACACCGTTTTCTAAATATTAACCAAAAAATTGCCATTAACCATGTCTCCTGTCTACAGACTCTTCTTTTGAGGACAGTAAATATGATTGAGCATGTTTTTTTTCATGCATTACCTTATTTCTGTACCCTGTATGTCTCCAGCTCAGCCAGAGTTTCTCAGACAGAAGGTTTTTCCCCCGGGAGTACACGGCCAGTAGTGGTGAGGCATGGGCGTGGCTGGACTGGAGTTTGCCGTGTCCCGGAGCACCAGACTACGCAGCCCTGAACCCTACACAGCCAGCAGGTTACAGGTGACGACTTCACTAATGGTCTATGGCAAAAGTACAGTTTTGGGTCTAAGATTTTTTTTGGGTTTTTTTTTGTAAATTACAAACTGGACTTAAGCCCTGTCAATAAAAGGAACTTCATATGCATGTTTACAGCATAACAAGATTTGATTGCTTTTGCTTTATCATTTGATCTTGATCTGTTCCAAATGTTTGTAACAGAAAAGTTTGCCCAAGCAATGTTGCAGAAACTTTTAAATAATGTACTACTGTTGTTTGATGGAGAGTTCAAAAGTTCTTGTCTTACATTTGTAGGTTGTGAGATTGATCCCTGACTGAGTGTATAGATTTGCCATTAATATATTCAACAATTAACATCTCTATTTCTGTCCCTGTTACGACAGGAAGCAGAAGTTCATGTCCAACTCACACCTGACCAGGGTGGGACAGTGGCAGGTCACGTTCATCGCACAGCGAGACGGGAGTCTCTCCGCATCCATGTACTGTACACAGAACAGGACCATACGACCCACCCTAATGAGGTACGACCCAGTCTAACACTGTACTGTGCACAGAACAGGACCATCTGACCCACCCTAATGAGGTACGACCCAGTCTAACACTGTACTGTACACAGAACAGGACCATCCGACCCACCCTAATGAGGTACGACCCAGTCTAACACTGTACTATACACAGAACAGGACTATCCGACCCACCCTAATGAGGTACGACCCAGTCTAACACTGTACTGTACACAGAACAGGACCATCCGACCCACCCTAATGAGGTACGACCCAGTCTAACACTGTACTGTACACAGAACAGGACCATCCGACCCACCCTAATGAAGGATAACCCAGTTTTATGTCTTGGTTGATTTTTTCAGGTTCGTCGTTTGCGACAAACAAGGCGAGCCTAGTTACATCATCCACAAGGTGAGCGCGGTGGACGTGACGGTGGCAAACGTGGTGAGCGGGGAGAAAGCGCGGGAAATCGTCAATGAGGAGGGCAAACTCAGGATAGGCGTATTTGTCAGGGACCTGGAGTAAAGACAAGGCACACTGTTAATAAACCGTCTTATGAAACGGATAACATCATTAACAATGTTAAAGCAATGCCTTCAGTGCCTTTATACTGATTTGCAATTGGAAGTGAACTGAGGTTAGTTATATGCCTCAGACTATCATTTGAAATTTGTATTAATTCTACAACACAAATCTTGTCGGTACGATAGTGTTCTAGCCCTACTCTTCGCAACATTTGCTTTTGTCGATCGCGTAGTGAATGTGTACTGGACTACCTGTATTAGGAGGCAAACTTTCAGACCATGACTTTGTAACATTTTCAATGGCACATTTACCGTATCTGCTGATGTCATAGTTTACACTGAAATATCCAAAGATTTACTACCTGTTCTGGTCACAATTATTCAATGGGACTTGAATGGCCATGGAAAAAAATGTTTCTGACTTCAGTCCTGTAAAATAAATGGGTAGGGATTACTTTTCCTTCACCCTAGGATGTTAGAATAAGAGATTATTGAAATAAGAGTACTAGTAGCAACATGTCACACATCGTCATTATTTTGTATTAATTGTCCTTATGCAATCTTTCAGGCAAGAATTTGCAATAAACTTATTTATTAATCAAAACTAGAGTTCCATGATCTGATACCTTTGGCACTTATGTTTACCTGATAATGCAAATAATTGTATCATGAATTATGTAATGAAATACTATTTAGTATATAGTATATTCTCCACCTGCCATTCTGGCATTTCCTCATACATTATGCAAATGAGGTCATTATTTGAATAATTTATGTTTCATATGTTCACCTTCACTTAACTTCCAAATGCAAAAAGTATGAAATTTCCAGCAGTTCCCATCACGAAGTCATAGCATTTTCTCATTAATTATGCAAATTAGGTCTTTTTTACATCATTGCACTCTTTGTACTGGTGGTCACTTGTAGGTGAGGGAAGGGGGTTGACCTCCGCGTGCTATCCCAGTCGTCTGATAATGACATTACCGTGTTTGTTTCCCGCCATGACAACTTGTACGTTCTGTCAATCCATTTGAAGGTTGTCGGAACAAAGGTTTAACAGTTAAAAGAAGACGTGAGACGATTTGAGACGTGTATGTTATTAACTTAAAATTACAAGTCTGACAAATAAAATATTGGTGACAGTTGTCAAAGTTTAAGTTTAAACTCATATGATGTCGATTCGCTAACGCGACTCTTTTGGTAAAACAACAACAAGAAGCCATAGGTGACAATTCTCCGTGAAGTATTATATATTGCAACAAAAAGAAGTAGCCATTGGCGACAATTCTCTGTGAAGTGTGATAAATCGAACAAAGAAAAATTGTTTAAACGCGCGTCGGCTCAGTCATCTTAAGACGCAACAACCAATCAGAGATGCGAAATGCCGACACGTACGTGACGCGGGATTTGCATACAGTCTAAACAACGGGGAAGGGCGCGCGATGCCCGAAATATTTTTGCGTCAATATTCAGCGCCGTGTTTCAAGAGATTAATACCGGGAAACAAATTCTTTTCTTGTTTTGAACGCATAAACATGCATTTACGCTAATCTAGTATGATTCAGGGTTACTTTTTTTTTTTACCTGCCATGGCCAGATTATCTAAAGATGTGTGTATTGTGTGTACAATCTACAGAAAGAGAAATGTACATCAGGTCCGATCATCCGATTTTCACGTTTCGGTTTTTTGGACTCGGTTCATGAACGTATTTTGGTTTGGCTCCTGGAATGTGCGAAAAAAATGACTCCCGGGACTGTCTACAGGGAACACTCGCACATTCGCGGTGTATCAGGACAGCGCGACTGGTCGGCATTAGCGCAGTCCCTGTAATTAGTAACAGTTGCACATCAATCCGGCCGAAAGCATGATTGTGTAACACAGGCTACTTCTTCATATACCGGCTCATACTACACGACGCCTTTACAACTAGCAAATCATAAAATTACCCGATCTACTAGTACTGTATGTGCGGTTTACCAGCCCCAGACCACATCCGACCACGAGGCAGAACACATTGATGGGTTGCTCAAAAATATTGTCCATGTTTACAAAGAGCTGCTCCACTAACACTATGGAGCGGCCCAACCCAAAAATATTGGCCATGTGTCGTTGCTAGGACGACCGGCCAGTTGCTACGTGACTAAATACACGCCGCCACTAGGTCGCCACACCCGACCAGTTTGAAATCGATAGGATTACGTCATCGGTATTAACATTTCCTAATGTTGACCTCTGACCACCCCACATTTCCGCCCCATCAGCCCCGCCGCGACTTACTACCGGTGACATAAACGGACGACAACATTTCAACGACATGGGGATGTTTCGAAAATAACCATTTACTCCAATATCAAAACAGCTACGGTAAAAATAAAAAGACGTGCATCATCCCGGACATAATGCCACACCACATGCGAAATTACACAAAAATGCGACGTACGGAAGAATGCGTTTTGGCTGCGAACATCTTCCAAAAAACTTGGCATCTCTTAACCATGGGCAAAAACATCTGGAACCACTTATCAAAACCACCCCGTATCTGCATGAAGTTCCACCCCCCCACTGCTATTCCAAAGAACGCGTTTTTCTGGACCATTCCAATTCGCCTCGTAATTGTAGGGGTGCGTCTGCAATATTACATTGACCGCGAAAGCTGCAACGGCAAAAATACACATTCGTGCATCAACACGGGCATGCCCGAAGACGGCGTATAAAATTGCGTGCTGATTACACAAAGAGAACCCAGTGTTTTGACTGCGAACACGAAAAATCAGCCGATCACAACACTCCGTCCGGAGGTCCTGACCTCCTTCACGGAGTAATAACGTGGACTGGTCAGTTAAAGCGACTGTGGCCTAGTACTGGTAACTTTTATTTATTAATTAATACTTTTACATAACATCGTCTGATTGTGATCAATATATTTTCGTGTTTATTTCCCGCCAAAAGTACATGATACGTTCTGTAGTTATGTTATGGCTATTCTGTCAGTCCGAAAAAAAAACGTAAAAAAAAAGTTAACGTATTCATGCGTTAAATGTTAAAAGTGCACAGAGTGTAAGGGCAGTTTGGGTTGTCGGTCAGGAAAATACACTAACGTGAAGATAGAGGTAAAAAAAGTGGCGTACTTTGGTCAAACAACTATTGCTAGGTCAAATAAAAAGTACTCGTTAGTACTTGTTATAGGTGAAGGACGGCTCCAGTCACTGACCGCTCTCCATCTATCGTCTGAAATCCTGTCCGATCCCTTTGCCCCGCCCAAAATGTAGAAATGCAAAACAAAAACTTTAAAGCTCTCTCATTGGTCGAACCACTAATTTCCACGTTGTCATTGGTTGAACTGCTAATTGTGATGGACAAGTCAAAGGAAGAAAAGAAAGAAGTAAAACGCTGGTCCAAAAATCGGTTGCAGATGTGTGAAATCTGAAAAAAGTGCACAGGTAACTTAGGACTATTGTCCTTCACTGACGCGCACTTTGATCAAACGTATACAGCAACGTAGCCTTTTGCTGAATTAGTCGTTAGTGATGGCCTTTTTCGATTGGATGAGGAAGTTAATCGAGTTATGACCATTTTGCACACCTGACACCTGTGTACAAATGACAGTTGGTATTGTCCGTTCGACCTCGTGCGTGACGCACGCTGTTGGTAGAATTTTCTTTTGTTAGAGTTTTTGGGCATAATTTCGGCTTTTACCGTTTTTTTTTGGTAAGGGAAATTTCTATGGTAACGTCTGAAGTACTAGTAAGTCTTGGGGATGTTTCTGTGGTGGATTTTACGCCGTTCTTTGGATGTTTGAGCTCAAGGGAGAAAATTCGCCTTTTCTGACCCAGGTCGGAATTTTGGAGAAGAAAGGAAAATGGCGACTGTCTTGTCGGGAAGGACGGCGTGGTGTTGAGAAGACTCGTCTTTACAAGGTAAGACAACGAACTATCCCGTTAAATGTATTTCCAACAAAGTTGTGTAACCCTAACTGACGTATATTCTGTGCAAACTACGCATTTATCTCCTAGTTTTAAGCGGGTTTCCAGTAGTTGACAATTTTATACGCTTTTCTTGTCCTTTTCTGGGCACGGTATTTGATGCTGCATGAGTTGATTTTGGAGAATGTAGAACTTCAATGCTTTTCCGAATTCTCATTGTTGACTGGCTTTGAGAAATTATGGGATAATTTTCAGACGAAAAAAAAAATGTTGTAAAAATGTTTTGTTCGAAAGTTCCGCCGACGTGGTCACCGCCTGTTGGAAATGTGCCATATCTGGGGCATAGAGTCTTTGAATTCTACCGCCAAAAATGTCGCGAAAACAAGGCTTCAGGGGTGAAATATCCGGATGGGACATGACAAGTTTACTGTGCAATTAGTTCTCCATTTCAGCTTTGATAGGAATAAATTCGCACTGTACTCCGTCCACCATTACTTTTTAACCCCATTCTCTACATAAATAACTTCGCAGACAATCTCATCTCCAACATTAGACCACTATATAGCTAGAACCATCCTATGATAACATAAAACTGTTTTCCGTCAGCCACATCGCATTTTTTTGTCTCTCAGATATCAGTATGTTACTGGATAGGGTTGATTCAAGCTACTACGTCAAAAATGGCCAGAAATTTGCCTTTAATAATAAAAATCTTTGAACATAAATTAACCTACCATGAGCTTGTTCATGATTTTAACAGCATGTATGTGGTGAAATAGTTTAAAGCCACCGAAAGACATAAACATAGACAACTGCTGTGATTGTATATGTACTGGGACACAAATACAATGTGCACTGCACAAACTTTAATAGCGATGTTTGTTCCACAACCAAATGCAAAAGGTTGTTGACATGTAACATTAAGTTAGGTCATTTTTTAATATCCCAACTCTGTCTCTGCATTGGACTTTGTTAATTTACTGGTATTTTATATATAACAGGTGTCCTGACTCATAGCAGCGAATTTCTCATTTGAAGTTTTCTGCTGTTTAATATCTAATCTTGTCACACAGTCGTCCAACTAACATTGAGGTCTGTATTGTAAGTTAGGAGGCTGCAGACTGATGTTGACTCTTGTACAAACCTAAGATGACTTGTAAGGTGTTCCTCTCAGCACCAAAGTTTTAATTGACAAAAGTACAGTGACTTTTAGAAGGTCTACGCACTAGTAATAAATCAACATGTTGAGTTAAATTGGTGTGTCCCTTGTTCTAAGGTCTAAACATTATTCGAAATTTTCAGCTACTTGTATGCAGAAAGTATTAATATCACCAGCTACTAGAATGTAATTGAATATGATCAATAGCAAGAAACATCGAAATTCTGATGAGCATACATGATTGACAGAAAGTTGAACAGTTTTGTGCATTATCGAATTTATTTCCTGACCACTGGCCTAATCTTGAAATTGATGAATCCTGAAGTACTTAAGTTCATGTGCAAGTGTTTATCATTACCTGGTAGCTAGTTGCCCAATCTTGTTCTTTTATATCTAGGTACCTTGAGGGCCAGCAGTCCTGATGTTCCTGTCCAAACCAAACCAGACCAGAGGAGGGCTGTAGTTGACTTGAAGTTGAGTACACGGTGAAGAATTTCAGTATAGGTGAGACTGCTTTACAA